CAGGTTGTCGCAATGGATATGCCAAGTTGTAGGTATCATCTGGAAATGTGGTGAACCCGTATTTAATCATATTGGATGTTGTTGGAGAGGGTGTTTTGTTATTGGTGAAGTATTGCGTCATTTACAATTGCAGGTGTACAAGAATGTGGACAGTTTAATGTGAGAAACGTGTGTTAAATTGAATGTATTGCGAGAAGAATAAGTCAGCTGAAACGTACATAAAGTAACTTGTTGCGTCGGGTTGGATTTGTACAGATGTTTTGTAGAGTTGTGCGGTGCTGAAAGAGGAAGACACTAGTTGTGCGTTTAACTGGATTTCTTCAAAATAATATATAAAAATGCAGCTCGTACCTCACAGGGAACATTACGTCTCCGCAGCGAAGGCCAACCGTTTAATGCTATTAAGGGATACAAATGCTGTTCGTTGTGATAACTATGCGAAACACATAAATACAGTTCGGTCGCATTTTATGCGACGATGAGTTCATGAAGATCTCACGTAATTCAAGACAGATTTTGAAAAAAGTGATTCTTGCCGATTTTTGTGTGGTTTTTTTTGGGAGGGGGATTCTCATTATTTCAAATTTTGGGCATAAAGTAAGACTTTTTAAGTGCCTTTCTTATATCTCACTATTTGAAATTCTCGTAATTCATATTCGTATAAAATGCGACTTCACTGTACACTCTGTGGGCAGAATGCAAATATTATTGTGTTAAAGCAGGTGGTACATACAGTATCCAATAGGCTTTAAAGGGTTAATTATTGCAGATAAGCAACTAAATGGCCGTTTCCTGGGATCACTCATTAAAGCGCACACAGTATTGGATCACCAACATAGACTCAGATTACGGTGTACGCCCTACGGTTGTTCATTCATTCATTCATTCATTCATTCATTCATTTATTTATTTATTTATTCATTTTAAAATTCCATGAATCCTGTCTGGTCACAATGTTCCTAGGATGTAGAACATGTCAGATTACTATATGTACTGCAATAAATAATGCAGGTAAACAGTTATCATTGTCACAATCATGTTGTCAAAACTAAATCATAATATATACAATTCGATAGCAGTCTAAAATATACAATTCATAAAATTGAAAAATTAGTATATAATAAAAATTCCATAGGTACAAACGTAAAATACTATTATTAATACCTTTTATTTAGTATTAGTTGTTAAAAATAATTCTTATACAGGATGGAAATTAAATTAACCATTTAAATAGCAGATGGACTATACATCCTTGTCTTCAGTATACTGACAATATTCATTCATTGAGTAAAAAGAATGTTGACATAAGAACCTCTTCAGTGTAGATTTAAAAGTTTTAACATTATTGGCTAAGGTCTTTATTGACTGAGGGAGGTGATTGTACACTTTGATGCCTGTTATGTATGTTCCATTATTAAATTTTGCTGTTTTCACAGCAGGAACATGTAAGTACGCCCTGCGGTTGTTTGTTCTGCAGTAGCAGAAGTCATGTGATGAGCCTATTTCCATGCAAGGGGTTTACCGGTGAAGGATCAGAAAACATCTATGATAGAGGGGGCGATATCAAGAAAAACAATAATAATAAAAAGAATTATAATTATTAACAACAGTAACGGTTGAGGCACTATACTACAAGTCGTAAGGTCGCGGGTTCCATTTCCAATGGGGTGGATTTTTTCAATTTACCTAATCCTTCCAGCCGCACTATGGCCCTGGGGTCGACTCAGCCCACCCAGCACCAGGAATCTTCCTGGGGGTAAAGGGTGGCTGGCGCATAATGCTGACAACCTCACCACCATCTGTGAGTCGATTGTCTAGAGAAAATGTGGGAGCCTCGACGTCTCACAACCCTATGGTCCTCCACGGCCTGTTACAGGGGTAGTTTTACCTTTTATAAGGGCCTAATCTTCCATAGTATTGATTTTAATGTAATGAATTTTTGTCCTGTTCCAACTTTGTACATGGAGAGAAAGCTGAACGCTGCAAATATTATTTGTCAGGTCGGTTGTTTGGACAGAAATCTGGGGTGGGAGGCATGCACCAAAAGTTTGGACAAATTTAAATTTTTTTCTTTTTCGTGCATTAAGTCATACACGGTCAGAACTCGGTGGTGGACCTTTACTTCCACGTTCTCAATACGCGTCTTTTGACCGTACGTGGATAAGTCGATAATAATTGCAGTGGAGATATGCTGTTGGGGAATAGCCATTCTGTAACGTATAATATGTATGTTGGAAACAGGGTTCAGTGTGACACACATGTACCTCCCGCTGGAAAGGGGGAGGGGGTGAGAGCAGGAACGTAGAAACGCCTCAAACTTTGCAGCGAGTGTTAAGAGAGGAACAGAGTATATGTGTCATGTGCTCTTGTCATACTGCAACTTGCAGCGTGTCCCAGCAGACTTTGCTATCTTGGTAAATTAGCAGAACACAATCGAGTTTTCCTGGTCCAATGTTCAACTGTTTTCTCTAAGTGGATGAAGTGAACACATTAAGTTCGCTTGTTTCGTCTCCTAAAACCGTAAAGGAAAACGGTAAAGTTATTCCCTGTACCAGGCCGTGAAGGTCCATAAGGTTGTGAAACGTCAAGGCTCCCACATTTTCTAGATAATCGGCTCACAGATGGCGGAAAAGAAAAACCATATTCAGATGAAAATTGGTTGCGGTTGAAGTGATGGGCGAACTGAAGTCGAACACGGAAGGAGAGAGTTGATTTGTTTCTTTTTTCAACAGTTAGCGTTGATCGGCAGAGAAGATTGGAGTACACATTGCCATTTACTTGCTAGGCTTATGTATTGCCGCGTGATCCCTAATATCCCGTCTTTTTTTTCTTTCATTGGCACTACAGCCCCAGTGGGCCTAGGCCTACCTCCATGAACTTCTCCGTTCACTTCGGTTTTTCTAGATCTTACACATTCGGTAGGACTCCTTGGGCGAGTGATCAGCTCGTCGCAAGGCCTCTACCTGTACAGAAACACAGAAAAACTCACACAAACATCTATGTCCTGATCCACGATCCCGGCTTCCGAGCGATCGAAGACGGTGCATGTCTTAGACCGCTCGGCTACCGTGACCGGCTAATATCCCGTCTTAGATATTCCAGTTCTTCTTCCCAGGCACCGGTGGGTGGTAATGCATGAAGTCGATATGACCTTTTCAGATCGACTCAAGCGCCGCTCCCTTTACCCCCTTGCCCTCCCCCCATAATCTTCACAGGGGGGGAAAGTTCCCCGTTCACCTTGCCCTAGTTCGCTTATGGTTAGAAGCCCTCTAAACCACACTAGTTACCATATTACCATATTACCATTTGCTCTAATATTGAGACACTGTGTTCTGCCCACAGAGTGTATTTCTCGGAATAAACAGCGAATGTTTCCTTAAGCAGCTTAACAGGTTTGTCTCCGTAATTAGGATTTTGTCTGAGTAGGAGCTGTAACTTGAATATTATTTAGATTAATTGCCTGCTTCAAAGAAGTAAACAGCGAAACCCATAAACGATCGAAACTTTATATTGTTTGAAATGACGGTCGGAAGTACTCTGTGACCATTCTGTAGTTCTGTGTTCAGTCGCTTTTTCTTATAATGTGACAGCGCCAACTGTGGAGGAGAACCCTTTCTGAGAAGCTAACAATCGCTGTGAAAATATGGCAGTGTCAGCCCTGAGACCCACTATCCTCATGGTTCCAGGAGATGCACAGACTGAGCCCCGAGCTGTGTGACTGTGTGCTTCATGTATTCACAGTCATCATCACAAACATCAAGCGGCCTCCGTAGTCTAGGGGTAACGTTCCCACCTCGTGACTCAAGGTACGCGGGTTCAAACCCGGCGGAGGTCGTGGAATTTTTAAGGGCGGAAAGATTCAGGGAACAAGTCCTCCGGGAGGGACTTTAAGCCGTGGGTCCCGTGTCGTAGCTTTACGGCACGTAAAAGAACCTCATTACTCAAGGGGACCTCTGAGCCAAATTCAGGACATTTCCCGCCCAACAGTGGTCTCTAACACCTCTGGTAGATGGGGGAAGCATCGAGATACCGCTGAGCCAGTAGAGGCCGAACTCGCTGGCTGAGTCGGGACTGCTGGCACGCACCAGTACCGGTAGGGTATAGAGAGTGGTAGAATATCACAGGGGGACGCACAATGGGCCAACATCTGGTCTAAGTGCACCCTCTCCAACAACAACAACAACGACAACGACAACAACAACGACAACGACAACGACATCATCATCATCATCATCAAGGTTTGGCAATTCTGATCGGTTGCAGTCCTCTACAAGAGAGGCTGGTCCTTCCAGCGGAGCCTCGGGCGCCCAGTGGATCGTGTGCATCTAGGAGGATACTCCATTAACTATTTTGACACGATTTCAGCTTCCAGTATTTCAACATGTTGAATCGAAATGAGTTTCTGATTCCGCATGCTCATATTTCAATTGAATATGTTCGTTTCTAGTCATTCTTTTGATGGCATTTGGATGTCAACACAACAGTGTATAAAAATAAAACCAATGGAACTGCTCACATTGGTTTTATTTGATCGTTGTTACATGTTTCGGCCCGAATTTGTGTCCATCTTCAAGGAGTCTCATCAAATACGTCTCAGGTTGTTGAACTGGCCTAATATGGATCCATATTACTACTGATCACAATCGTAATACTGTGTTTCGAATTTGATCTTTAATGTGCATCCCACTACAAACCTAAGAAATATATAGTCACAATTGGGCCGCGCCATAGCTCAAGGGGTTAGTCGTTGGCTTCCCACCGCGGCGGCCCGGGTTCGATCCCGGGTCTGGGGTTTGTGATGTGGGGTTTTCTCCGAGTATTTCGGTTTCCCCTGCCAATCTTCATTCCACCAATTGCTCCACAATCACCCTCACCTATCATCTGGGCTGGTACAATAGGCCAGAAGTGGCCGCAGTACAAGGGACTTAGTCCCACACGACTAGCAATAAAACAATATATAGTCATAATTTACAATGAAAATGTGTTTCGTTCTGTTGCAGGTGATCACTTGCTGGAAATCAACGGCCATCCATTATCTTCGTATGAGGACGCTACCGAGCTACTAAAGCGCTCTTCCGATGTTGTCCACTTAAAATTTCTTCACAATCGCCATTCAAATAGCCACCGGAAAGGACGTCATGATCCCAGTTCCGGTAATTCAGCGTCTTCGCGGCGGCCTAAGCGTCGCCATCAACGTCAAAACCTGTCATCGCTAAATATAGATTCCGGAATGGGTTCTAACGTCAGCCGGCATTCCGAAAAAGGTTTGACCGGTCGTCGGGCCCAGTCCCATGGAAATTTATGCAACGGGAACAAAATCTTGGCGCCCAGCGTAGGGCGCATTCTCGTGCCATGCAGTGGTGGTGTGGGGCCCAAAGATCGCAACAAATTTTGCGGTTCTCTGCCGAACCACTTGGACACGAAGCACGGTGATGTTGAGGACCCTTGTCGCAATGGTAATAACAACAATGGAGAGCATGCGATACCCAACAATTGCAACGAGGTCGAGCTGCGCCTTCGTCCCCTGCCGTCGTCGTGTACCCTGGACCCCGCGTCACTCCACGACCAAGGCTATGGTTCGGAGAGATCTCCAGAGGAGGAGCATCCGCCTTCATTGCCCGGGTTACTGGAGCTGACCAGCAAGTACCCGTTCATTACTAGAGGTAAGTGAGCACTCCTGTTATCGTCTGCAGCACAGTTCGGGGTTCAACTGTACAGGTGAAGGCACTGAAGATGGGCTAGGTTACTATAAAAGCGAAATTATTACGTAACCTCACACATGTAATCAGGTGAGGTGGCGAGTTGCCAGCACTGAGTGAGCTGGGATACAGGTAAAGCTGCAAGCCGATTTTCGGATGGTGGCCTCTTTGAATCTCGGCTGGGGTCCTGCTCTCTTCACTAAGGATGTTCTTGTTTTTCCTCAGTTCGTCCAGGCAAATTTCATGAAGGCAAAACGATTAGACAACGACATCTTCCTTCCCGATCCTATAAATTCATCATTCGCCCTCCATTTCTATGACATGTAGTCTAAATGCTGACGTCACGAATTAATCCCCACGAACGCCAGTCATTGGACTGAAGCACGTTGTGCGTTTATATTTATTGTGTATTGGTTCGATAATTACACGATAAGCTGACGGTTTTTGGAAAATAATTCGGGTACAGGCAGGTCTAAGCGTTAAATTGATAATTTATTTTCCTTTCTTACTTTTCATCTGTAAAGTACAGGCACAGGTTATACATGTCAACCTACCAGTCTAAGAAAATAAACCATTCAGTAGTCTCATGAATATATATCATATATACTGTACACAGTTAAAATTGAGTTGAAAAAAAATTCGAAGCAAAATTAGTCCACATAACAGATTTTATTACTTTGTGGGTATGTACCCAAAGCCTTTGTCAACGTGAAGTTACGGAACGTATTGTGACGTATAGACCCATTCCCAGGCAACGACTCAGTAAACACATTCCCGCGGAAATATACTAGCGCAACAATAGGGCTTCCATTGCTAGGCAACGGATCAGTAAACAAGCCTTCTCAATAATAGCCTGGTTTATGCCTGGTCCATGTCGAGGGTTTATAAAGGGAGAAAGGTCGTTTGATTTGTCAAGAATTTGGTCTAGTTCTGGAGATGGCAGTCCAAGGTGAATGAGAAGAGATGGGAAGGGATTATACTGTGCAAAGAAGACTTAATTTGTGATTTGAAGTGACAGTCGGACTGTTATAAATCCTTTGCCTGAATACGACTAGTGTAGACTGGGAACCCTAGCGTGTGTGTAGCGGTGAACTGTAGAACTGTAATGTGTGTTGTTCGGCAGTAGCCCTGTATTGCCTGTAATCCCGCGTAATTTGTATAGGGTGTCAATGAATCCGATCATCCAATCTAGAACCGGCCTGTAACTCACGCATACCCCCTCACGTGACAGTATTAATGGAAGAAAGATTATTGTTTCAGAATGTTACACTTGTCAGTACGTCTGGGTGGACGACAGAGCAGACGCGCTAGAGCTGTTGTATATCGTCAGTTACGGGAGATTTATGGTGCCGCAGTGCTCAACGCCAACGTAGAAATATTGGCTAAACGCAAGGCCACGTGTTCATAGCTTTGTTATCTTGGAACGATGTTCTTCACAAAACGAACATTGTAGCTGTGTCGAAATTACTCCGAAGTCCTTCTTTAGGTCCTGCAGGATGTATGGCAGACATTGAAAATATGTTTTATAACAATTATTGTACCATTGAATTTAGTGTTGCCGTAGCAGCGAAAGAGGTATCACAAACATTAGAAATTGAATTTCCATTTTCCCCCATATCAACTCCGAGAATACGGCAAAAACAGAAACTTTTTTTTTTACCACAAAAGGACTGACGAAATAATTATTGAACCGATAACATATTCCCAAACGTGACTATTTTCCGTAGGATCCTTTTCAAAGTTGGTCACGACATCTAATTCGGAGGGATTTTTTTTCAGAGCAGATATAATTAAAATTTACTTGCATATGACAGTGAGTCATGAGAGACTGGTTGATGTTGTGATCACCTCTCGATAACGTGACCTATCAAATAGGCACATTAAATTATTAATGCGCTGTGAAGACCTTTGCTCCGTTGAAACCTCGGTCAGTATTGAATGTGAGCGGTCATTTCAAAATGAAGGCAGTATTTAAGTCGATATTCAGCTTACTCTCGGACGATATTAGTTGTATAATTGCCATCAGTTATTGATTTATTCCCCATAAATATCAGTTTAGCTCACTCGGACGCCGTGATCGTGTGTTTGAATCCCACACAAGGCATGGATGTTTGGTATGTGTATGTGTTTATTCTGTGTTTGTGTTGTCCTGTGTTTAGTTAGAGGTTTTGCGACTAGCTGATCACTCATCCAAGGAGTCCTACCGTTTGTAAAATTATCATGAAACTGAAAAAATGAGAGGCCAGAGCCCAAGGTGGTTGTAGAGCCAGCGAAAAAATGTCAACTTTGTATTATAATTTATAGTTAAATATTGATAATAAACCTGTAAAAACCAAATTTCGGAATTATTAAATGAATATTCTATATTTTAATTCTTTCCAAATTATTTTAATTATTTTTGTTAATTAAACTGGGATGTTATAATAGTAGTTATTTATTATGTATAAAATATCTTATTATGTGCCTATTAAATAGAATCAGTGTATAACTAATGCATTTCATAAAATAGGCGTCGTTTCAGTATCGCGACGCCTCAGGCTCCAAAATAGCTGGAAACGGCGCTGTAGTTCATTTGGGGGGACAGGATATGAGAATTAAGCCTGCAATAAAACAACATGATAGCCGTCAGTGCCACACAGATACATCGTTGAATGTGCTCCCTGTTGTCAATGCCTGGATTCAGGTTATTCAAAGTTCTGTTGGTCTCTTACTGCCTGTATATGTAGGCTAAGTGAAGCCATCCAGACCGTAAGGAGTTTGCAGAAACAGATATCTGTCGGACACACATAGTCAAGTTAACGGATTGCTGAGGACTGAGCACACCTTTGCTAGTATGGTCTAATTTTGCCAGTTCATAATGACTTGAGTCTGAGTACTGATTGAAACCGTTAAAAAAAAAAGTAAAGCTATCCCTGTAACAGGCCTTGGAGGCCTATAGGGTTGTAAGACGTCGAAGGTCGCACAATAGACCGCTCACAGATGGCGGTAATGTTGTTTGTCTTACCGACCGGCCGCTCTTTACCCCCCAAAACATTCCCAGAATATCCCTGGTACTCATTTCTGTTAGAGGCTGAGTCGACCCCAGGGCCATAGTGCGGCCGGAAGGATTAGGTAAATTGAAAAAAAAAAAGTCCAGTGACCTCGTCGGGATTCGATTCCGCAACCTTCCTGCTTGTAGCATAGTGCCTCAGCCAACTACGCTACCGCATGATAACCTCATTATCCACATAGACTGACGAATTATGCTTCTTTGTTGTGTGTCAGTTTGTTAGAAATTTCACAGTATGAAAATATGGCAGGTGTGTTGCTCTGTTTTTATCTTTTATTAAAGTGTTATGTTCTTTGTAAACCGTATTCCAGTTTGTGAAGCTCGGATATAGTGTTCCGATAGTATCGTGTTCTATTTCTGAGTAAGAAATATGTACGGCGAATTCCTATTACAGCACAGTAACAGGGTCATGCGTCTCTTTTATCTAGACAGTGGAACGTACCTTCATATCGATTGTGAAACAGATGATTTATGAAATATCGCGTAGAAGTTTATCTGTGTCGGACGGTGCCACATAAAATTAATATAAGGAAGGGGGGAGAGAATTACGCGTAAGAAGGAAATTCTTGGGAAAATAACTTAAAATTAGGCCTTTTGTATTCTCATTTTATTTAAAGAAAATTATTCGTGGAGTAATCGGAAGCGCTTAGCTATTACCATTTCCTGCCAAAGCGGGGAATTCCCGCCACGTGCCATTAGATTGAATATGGTCTTACTAACGGAATAAAATTAAGTCATTGACAGGTTTCTGAGCACTCAGTTTAGCAGACCGGAGAAGGCTTCGCACTTCTGCTGTGCTTTCTATGACGTTTGAGGTTTTCACGGCTCTGATTTTCAGGGTTATGACACTACGAACGTAGTGCTGTCTGCATATACAGAGTAGTAGAACTTACATTAATTGAATGTCTGGATAATTCATTGAGTATAGCGACGAGCTACCGGCTGGACGGCCGGGGTTCGATTCCAGACAGGGAGAAGAGATTTTTCGATATTCCACAGCGACCAGACCGGCTCTGGCACCCACTCAGCCACTTGCCCAGTGGCCCCGGGCGTAATGCGACAGGAGGATTGAAGCTGGCCACTCACCTCCATTTAGTGCCGAGGTCAAGAGCGTTGGGGCTGTGCCACATACATCTTCATGGCGTGGTTCCTAATTAAATAAACATAGAGATAACTTTGCCTTAATTCCTGGATGTGTAATTCGATCTTCCTCAGCCTTATATTGAGCGCAGGTCCCTCCTGGAACCGTGCCCACCCTATAATTTTGCCTGTGGTTCTATATGCGTGTGAAACTTGGTGTCTGACATTAAGAGAGGAACATAGACTTTGGTTACACAGAATTACTGTTTTTGGACTTTTCCCATCGTCCAGTATTCTAGAGAATAGAAAACAAGACGTTTCGGAAACTGGACCCGTTTCCGTCCTCAGGTGAAGGGGGACAAGACACCTCCTGAGTTGGGTCCGTCCTCACCTGTGGACGGAAGGAGATCCAGTTTCCGAAACGTCGTGTTTTTTATTCTGTAGGGCACCGGACGATGGAAAAGTCCAAAAAACACAGTAATTCTATGCGTTATATACCATCGCCAGAACCCGTAGAATATATGTACATAGACTGAGGGCGTTTGAGAACAGGGTGCTGAGGAGAATATTTGGACAGAAGAGCGATGAAGTGACGGGAAGTTCGAGAAAAATGCATAATGAGGAGCTTCATAACTTGTACCCTTCACCAAATATAATNCGAAATATTGCGTTCTAAAATCCATAAGCTAATTCTATTTGGAATAGGGAAGAATTGCCTGATCAGTGGAAGGAGTCTATTATTGTACCAGTTNGGTCAGGGCATGTAGCACGAATAGGGGAAAGGAATGCATGTGGGATATTGGTGGGAAAGCCAGAAGGAAAGAGTCCACAAGGA